TATGCAGTCACGCGACGTAATCGGTATGAAATAGCCCCTGAAAGATGGCGTTCGGAGACTTTTGGCGGGGGTCTGTAAAAAAAAAAATTCGTTATAACCCTTAAAATTTTAACAAAAAATTAGTTATATCGAAAACTTCGTTTAATCAAATATCATTTTATTATACTTTGTACCACGTTGCTGATTCGTTATATGTAATAGTAAATCTCATTAGAAAAATTCGTTATATACAACTATTTATTTAATAAAATTTGGTACCGTCCATGTGATTCGAGTAACGTGAAATTCAGAATACAGAAATTCGTTATAGACCACTTCGACTGTACTATAATAGCTTTGAAAAATTTATTTCAAAATAATCTAAATTAATCGAAAACTAATTTAATAATTGTATTCAGTCAAATATGTATTTACTTTGAACTTTGGCTTTCGCTGTCTTCATATTTTATGAATTCTTTTTGTTCTTGAACCGAATAAGGATCTAAAAATATATAAATGTATAAATAAAGAATATTTAAGCATATTTAAGGAAGTGCATATAATTATAATAAATACCTTTAAATCCTGTTCGTTCCCAGAATAGCTCATGAGAAACGAGATCCATTTTTCTCTGAGGATCAGGCTTAAATTTGTCTATAATTTAATAAATAGTTAATAAATACAAATGCAAATATATTACAACAGAAAATCAAGATCAAATTACCATTAACAGGCCGATTATCTTCATTCTGACCGTGATCAATATGATGATGTTTACCTATATTTTTACAGCACTAGTATCAAGGAAATAATGATTAATACATTTTGAATGACAAAGAATAGTAAATTGATGAGATTATCATACCAGGTTACAAAGATAAAAGGTTCTATGATCACCGACTCTTAATTTAAGCCTAAAGATCAAAAAAAATATTATATTAATTTGATTATGTAAAGCGATGTAATTTTAACTGTATATCATACCCTTCATATTCAGGTTCATTATCTTCTCCTATTAACTCAATTTCTGCAATTTGTGACATATTTCCATGTCTTGTATCATGTAATTGTGTGTGCCCATAAGGTAATATACACTAATCATAAATATAAATATATATTAAAAAATTTTCTTGAATAAGTTGAAGAGAATACACGCATTTTTTATAATACATACAAAAGATTCACAGAAACGACACTTTGCATCACAAAAATGAAAACCGCCCTCTTCATGTATATGTCCTCCATCATGCTTAAATTTATTCGGAGGAATTTTTCTATTACATCTTAGTCTTTCACCTAATTGAACATACTAAAATAACATCGGAAGATTAATGTTACATTCTTATCTCAAATACTACTACTTACAACTTGATTTATACCTTTGTAAATTCCACGCGTGATTTTTCCTTGGGCTCAGTCGTTATTTTACATACACCGGATTCTTCACATAATTCACGACACTGATGTTCATTACTTGAATCATAAATTTTATATAAATTAAATATATTCGGAGAATACAAATAATATGATATTACATACCCACAAAAATGATCCACGTGCAAATCCGAGTGAAAATGATCATTGCTTTGACATTTTTTTCGGCAATTCGGAATTGGACATTGAATTGGACAAAGTTCATTTTCACAGCGGTGATAAGTATGTTGTTCATCATGTGGTATAATACATTTATTACGACAATGATAAACTTCTTTCTGTAATGAACAGGCCTTCCCACAATAATGACGTGACGATTGACATAAATGTATATCACCATGTCCCATTTCCTTTGAGCAAACCAACTGGCAATTACCTTTATCGGAAAGATCACATGGTTTACTACATGCATGTTTTACTTTGTCGTAAACATGAAATCCTTCATGTTCAGCTTTGTACATGCATCTTGGAACTAATTTGTTGTTGTGAGCTTCAACAAATTGGCAATAAGAATGACATTTATGATCCGTTAAACAATCATGTTGTTCATTGTGATCAAGATTTTTGACACATTTCAAATCACATTGATGACACGTTAATCCACATAGGGTCCATAGAATCGTAAGTTTGCTTATTTCTTGCTCCATTGCATATATTCCATTAACAATCTCTATATTAATTTGTGGAAACTTGGCAGTATTTTGAGTAAACCAATCTTGGATACGTGAAACACGACGCTCAATAATGTATCTAAAGAATATATCAAAGTTAGTAAACCATTTGTCACCAGATAAATCTTTTCGTGATTGTATATTTTCCTCAAAGTAACGTTTTAAATCTTCAGACAGTCGAACAAAAGATTCATGTTCGTCATATAATTTGACATCAGAATCTGGCAAAACTTCAACTGATTCATCAATATCGTCTAAAATTTTGGAAAAATCGACTATCGGATCATCAATACTTTCTCCGGTGTCATGATTCTATTGAATGCACGATTTCGTTAAAACGTTGATAAGGTTACGGATATATTAAATAGGAATTGAACAAATATATATTACCATAAGTTGCCTAGCAATAACACCGTGTTGTTCCATTCCATAGGAAACCGCAGTTGGAAGTAACCTCATTAACATTGCAATACGAATCTGTATGAGGGAATTATCTAACGAACTCCACTCACATATCTAATACGAAAATAAAAATTCAATTTTTTTTAACAAATTTAAATGTCGCTAATCATTTCACTATACCTTCAATTTAGCCATGATCACTTTTGTATTTTGTAAGAAAGCTCGCACGTTATCACATTTGCCTCCTGCTCGTCTAGCTTCTTATTAACATCTGATAAGGCGTTAAACCATGCGGCATCATTAAACATTGGCCAAGGAATGACATTTAATTCACCCTGAAACATTCTTGAAATAAAATTATTTTCACCCTCCTAAAACATTAAGAATAAAATAAGCAGGTCGTACAAATAAACAATATATAGTAAAAAATAAAGTACATTGGAAATTAATCGAGAAACTTTTGACTGAAATTCCCTAACAATTTCTTTTTCGGTCCTAGGCACATCCTTAATGATAACACATAGTTTTGCCTAAATCATTGAAAGATATTAAATAAAACTAATAAAGTTAAGGTTTCATATTTAAAAATAAAATATTTTTTATACCTGAAACAATTTTGGATCTGACTCGAATAACATTGCACCATCCTGAAACCTTTGAAACATTAAAGACATATCTCTATTTATCGCAAAATGACACTGTTTAATTTCAAAAATTCTGTATCAGTAAATAACGAATAATGATTATAAGGTTAATAAAAAATCTAAATAAAACGATATTACCTTAAAGAATATGAGATTAGACATAACTGTACCAAAAAGGGCTAACAATAAATCTAAAAAGGCGTTATATATATAAGGTAATTGTGATGATAGTGAATAATAAAATAAAAATTATATATTATACACACCATCTTGAGAACTTTTCTCAAGTGACACTAAACCTTCAAAATTTAGTACGACATAAATACATTTCTGGGTATTTACTGAAGGAAAAAAAGATATAGGTGAATTTATATCGTAACAAAGAAGTACAAAATTAATTTATTTTTACCTAGAGACATCCATACACCCTCACGCTAAAATATTCATTTAATTTATTAATTTAGTAAAGACTTTATAAGTAAGAAAATATCAGAATGCAAAAAATCAAATACAAAGAGCTACCATTTCCGAACCATCGAAGGAAGTTCCAATAAGATGATTTAAGAAATATGACTTTCCGCAAGAATGTTCACCCATGCTTGAAACAACTTTAACCTTGCGATCTCCAAAATGATTAAGGATTCCTTCATACCATCCAAAAGAAATATTACGAGTAATATTATCCATAATATGATATCCATCAGATTGTTCGCTCTCTGCTTTTAATGATCCATCACACAACGGTTGGAATTGATGATTTTTTGATACAGCAATTTGAATAGGAATTAAACATAATAGTTGTATGATCCATTCCCCGAGTTGATAATTTTTCATCTTATTTTTCTTTGATCGGATTAAATTATCAACATTAAACTCTTGAAAGGTGCTTACACATGTCAAAAACTCTTTCAAAACAAGTTGCGGCTTGTTTGTTTCTCTTTTTAGATCTTTAAACATGTCTAATACATATTCTTCAAAGTTTGTACGATATTTACGAAATATGTCAACAGCATTATCACCATGTGATAAAATATCTAAAACTATATGTAAACAAAATGGCCTATTTTGTTCATTATCAATACAATTATCAATTGGATATTTTTCAAACATTAATTTATATGAATCTATAAATCCATTAAGTTTTGTCTTTGGTTCAATACGAAAATCTAACCATGATTCAACACCAAAAAGGGAAGAAACATTGTCAGCTATCTTTATTCGACTATCGGAGATTATTTCAATTACTTCATAACCATTATCCATAATAATAATATTTTCTCCTTCCTCAATATCTTGAGTAAAATTGGTCTGTCTACCAATAAGAATGGATGATTTATCGAGATGATCATCTGAATATGCTGCAGATTCAAATTTAACCTGTCCGGTCGATTTTTCAAGATGACATTGTTGAAGTTGATATTTGGCTTTTTTATCATCCACAATTTTAACGATTAAGGCTTTTGAAACACCAACAATGATGTCAAGTGTTGTAAGATAAGTTTGACGGTTTTCTGACATGTAAAATTTAAAATATTCCACGAATTGCATATTTGAGGGCATTTCAATAACTAAAAATTTTTTTAAAAAAAAAAAAAAAATTAAAAATTAAAAATATAAAAAATAAAAAAAAAATAACATTGTATATACCTTTATTTGTCGGTTTTCCAAAGTCTGAGATAAAATATACATAAACCTTAACTAAATCTTTGAAGGATTCAAAACTTTTTTGTGTATCACCATCATCATCTTTTTTGCCAAGACTAATTTCTGATGAATCAATTTCTGGTAATAAAGATTGCTGTTGCTCTTTTACAAATGCAACAATACAAGTCCCATCAGGTGTACTTAAAATTTTGGTGGATTCGGGAGGAAATTGAGAAACATCTGTTCGAAATTGACCGTTAACAAGGTTATAAATTCTTGCACGGCCGCTTTTCTCAACAAAACATAGCTCCTCCGTATTTTCGATAAATAAAAAATGACCAATATCAGGAATTGAGTTATTATACCATCCAAAGATTCGAATATTTATGTTACGTGTATGAAGATTTATTTGTTCGTCATAATGAAATACGTTAAGCTAGAATTAACAAAAAATTAATTTTCCTTCTAAACTTTTTTAATAAATAAATTAATATAAGGTGCATACCATGCCATTATCAGTATTATATATCCCAATTAACCCTTTCGATTCGTTTACGGCGATGAGACAGAATTTACTTGCATTCATCATATTCTGATATTTTTTTGTATTATCAATTATAGAGCCTTGTATAGTGTCAACGCGTAGTTCCATTCGATTTGTTTTATTATTCCAAATTATTGACAAATATTTTGGGTGTTCAGGGTGATCAAACTTAGATATATGCCTAAAGGAAAATTAATTTGTCATAAAATATTAAAAATAAAATAAATGAGCAACTAATAAATACAATACATTAATTTATTTTCGGGTTCAATTGTAAAAGTATGAACTTTTAAACAATCATCTTGCTCAAGTATTGTTTCATAGATCGTTATTTGTAACTGTGCTGGTTGCATAATGACGACTTCATAATCTATTGTGACTTTGCTCACTATAAAAAATTGTTCTGAAAAATGTATTAAAATTTATTTAAAAGTTAGTATAAAGTTAACGATGCATTAAAATCAGAAATATTCAATAATTACCAGTTAAACTTATATTTAAGACATTAAATAAAGGACTAATAGTAAAATTATGAATAAATATCAAAAAAGTCAAATAAAATAAAAATAAAAATAAAAAAAAGTAATGCATAATAAATGCAGTACTTACCCATCTGGAAACCTTTCCTCAATTAGTTCGCAAAGCTTTTCAAATGTGTTCCTTAAGATATCTTGCTTATGCCTTTTATGTTCAACTTCTATAAGCTTCGACCAATACAGCTTATTAATATTATCTGAAAATTTATTAGTTTTCCATTCATCATATATATCACGAAATAATTTTATAATTGATTCTCTAAGTTTTGAGTTATTTGGACAAAATTCGTTATCTAATAATAAATCAATTATTGTTGAATCCGATAAATCAATAGACATTGCTTGATTATAATATTCGTTAATTTGAATGTCATCCAATTTAAAAGTAAATTTATGCTTCATGTGTAATTTTGTTCTCAGATTCTTAAAATAATCTTTGTAAATGTGATTAAATGTGAGAGGTTTAGGGTGCGAAACATTTAAAACTTTATAAAATGCTTGCCAAATAGATTCATCCAATTCTTTGTTGTCCAATTCTTCAGTTTTGGATGCTTGTGCTTGAACTTCCTTTATCAATAATGTTCCATAACTAAATCCTCGTTTTAATTGCATCCATTCATCTGTATTGATTTTTGATGCCGCATCCAATTTGACCGTTAAATTAGGATATTTTAAAAATAATCCCTCGATATCTAATTGTGAAATAATAATCGTGAATTAGTAGATAAAATACTAATAAACTAAAATGAAGTAAATTTACCCTTGCTAATTTCTGGCTCATCAACTTCATCTGATTTATTATCGTCAAAACATCTAAATGATACTTGAAAATTTTAATTTTTTAATTAAGAGATACTGTAAAGATAAAATTAATTTACCTATATAATTCTTTAAGTCTTTTACGAGCTATCCTTTCTAAATCATAAGCACCATTTTGAATAGCTAGCACTTCCTGCTTTTCCCTCTTAACAAATTCTTTCAATTCATAATTCATTTCATCATCATATTGAACTAATTGCTCCTTCAAATTATATATATTTAATCCATAGTCGATAAGAATTTTAAGCTTATTCATGTCCATGGTTGAACGATTAATTCTTATAGAATGATCTCCCAATTTATTCATAAAATCACCGAAAGTTGACTTTCTTCTAGTAGCACTATTCTTTTTCATGTCATAAGGCGTAATTATCATTTGTGTAACAAAAGCTTGACACGAAATCGATTCAACGACTTTCAAAAGAGAAATAATTTTTAAATCAGCAAATTTCTATTATGATTTTTTTTTTAAAAAAAAAGGAAACTTGACGGAAAAAGATCAACTTTACCTTTTGGTTTCAATGAAATTTCATTGTAAGATTGATTTTTGATTTCTGATTCAATAGCCTCTGGTAAAGAAATCTAATATGATACATTATATTAATGAGCAAAACATCACATGTAAAAAGGATAGGAAGCATATATTAATTTAAATTATGACATACGTTATACCCATTGAAAAATGCAAATTCTTGTTTTTGACTTTTCTTGACCTCGAATTCATAACACGAATCATCGTCATTGTCAATTGATGATACTTCTTTTTTCCAATCAAACCTGTTCAAGTCTCGATCACTCATTAAACAAATTTGATAGTCCGTCAAGTTTGTCAAGCACCTAAATAAAATCAAATGTCAATTAAGATTAATAAAATCTAAACTTCCATATGAAATGTGTAGTTACCGGTGAAGATTTATCATATTTTTCACTATTCGTAAAGGAGCACGATTTTCATAGCATCCATATTCGGACCAATGAATTACTAAACCTAATTTAGAATTGAACACCAAGAAATAAATTCCTGGGCGAAGAGATGATGGACGAATCAACATTTCATACCTAGATATAGTTTGCAATAAAAAAAAAATTGTATTTAATAGCTATTATAATGGTGAAATAGTAAATAAAACAGTGGTATCATTACAATGGTTGATCAATTTTTTCGTGATTTAACAAAAGCTTTGCAATTAAGTCATGATTTCCATAACATCCAATCAAATGCAATGATTGTGAATTTAATTGCTTATAATCAATTTCTGAAACTGATTGAAAACTGTCTGAAACAAAGTCATTGCATAAGTTCTTTAATCCTTCTTTTGATACAGAGATGTGGTCAACTATTGTAAGGGAATAAAATAAAATCAATTAAGAGTCCTTTAATACAAATTAATTAAAAATTAAAACAGATTTACTTGTATCATTGTGTAAATCTAATAAACAATAAAATCCCGAAATATAATTGACAAAATCATTATTAGGACACAAATTTTCATATTCATCATATTCATTCATTGTGAAATTTTGTTTTTCTTAAGTTCTGAAAAAACAGAAAAAATTTCAAAGCAATTTTGCTGATTACACACACCTTTATATGGATAATAAGCGTATGGTATTTATTGTATAAGAATTCCAAAAAAAAAATATCGTCTTAAACAATTTTAGTTTAAACAAGCTGCCGATCATCTTTAAGTGTTGCATAAATTAATATATAACAAATCAAATATGATTTTAATTTTAACCAAAGATAAAGTGGGTGGTGGGTTTACGTTATGCTTGCATGTTGACCGTCTTTTTGTGTTTTTATGAACAAGAATTTAAGAAAGACTTTAGCATTTTAACTCAAACTCCTCCATTATTTAATTACGAAAATTCTTTCGATATATGATTTTTTTGAACCACCTCATGTTTTAATATACCGTTTTTACAAAGAATTTTATTTAAATGTGGCCACAATTGTGTTTGATGACAAAAAAATTAAGTAATTTTTAAACCAATAAAATCAATGAATACATCGTCATTTATGTTCTTGTTGTTACACGAAGTATCACATAAGGCACAGAAAGTTTAGAAACCAATACTTTCAATGAATATCGATAACTTTCTTAACAGTTGCTATAACTTTTGAAAATAATTACAAAACTTTCATTATTCTAATCGAACAATAAACACTTATAAATATAGTCATTAAAAACTTTTCAACTGACAAATAATGGTTTAGCAAGTTACATACCATGTGCTGAGATTTTTTCAAACAGTTGTTGAGTTAGGTTAGTAATAATACAGGAAGCCATTCTAATCATCCAATCTTACTAATACTTCTACTCGAAAACCTAAATAATAAAAAAGGTAACATAATCAAAAAGACTTTTTCAGATGCCAGATTATTTTCAACTTTCGAATGGAGTATATTTTGGATAGAAGATGTATTAGATATATAGGTTTTTTTTTATTTTAAATAATTTTATGTTTTTAATGGCACGGACCGCGGCAATGATTTGTAATTTTGATCACTTCAGGGCGCAGCAATCGAAATTTACACTATGCCAGCTATACCATTCATAATCTCATAAAGCAATGATTTCGAGATTTCAACTTTGAATTTTTCGTCAGCTAGCTCAAATTTGGTTAGATAATACCGTAAATAATTAATTAAAAAATTTTTAACGATATTTTTTTTTTTTCAAGATGTAAGGTTTCTACTTGTCGAATAATTTTGCAGTGTATAATTACTTAAAACTTTCTCTATTACTAATATATTGATTCAACTAGCAACCTTATTTTTTATGATGATACTAAACTAAAAAACTGCGCCAGTTTGTTATGAAGCGGAGATTAGTATTAGGTATCGCATATGGGAGGTAAGCTATTAAAATCACGTTACAGATCATATGATTTACTATGTTCGTAACTTGATTTTAATAGCAAACCTCCCAAATAAATAAATTTTCTATTATAAATAAATAATATATAAAAAATTCATAAGAAAAAGTTCTATAAAATTTAATTTAATCAAAAAAATAAAATATATATTTTCAACAATATAATCTTTAACAGTTTACTAATGTGTTTTAGCTATCTGACATTTTTGTCTTTGAATAGTTTTAATTACTAACAAAGAAGTTTCTAATACACTTAATAAAAAACCTATATTAATCTTTATATCATTAATGAATTTGTTATTAAATCCTATTAAAAAATAACATATCATGACTATTTTATTTTTTTGCTGATTTGTTGTTAAATTTTACTTTTGAGGGTTCATACTAGTGATAAGTTCTTCAAAAAAACCTTCCAATTTTGATTATTTACTTTCTAACATTTTTTTGAATTCGTCTGAATCATATATTAGTTTTTCTCTATCTTTATATTACTTTTTATATAAAATATTAGACATTAAACAGATCTTTTTATTAATAGATACAGAAGCTAAAAATTTTGTTAAAAAATAAAATGTAAACATCAAAAAAATAATCCTTATTATATATACTTAATTTGACTTGATCAAGCTCCTCATAAACTTCGTAAAATGCAAATTCTAATTCTTTATATTCTTTAGCTGAATATTAATATTATCTACAATTAAACTTTTTTATTTTGGTAGTTAGTAATTAAAAGATTGTTGATTCTTTTTAGTATGATTTATTACAATAAGATATGGATTACAAATATATGTATTAAAAGGAAAGTTTAAAATATGTTAAAAGTGTTGTGGAATTTTCATAAGAGTGTATTTTCATAGTCATCCTTTTTTGTTATTTTTTATATATTTCTCATATTTAGAATAGGCACATTGTTATTTTTTGTTATACTTATTAGCTAATGATTTTTATTTATTATTAATTTATTATAGTAATGATAGCATAATTATTTTCTAACCAAATTTATATTAATATTTGTTTCAGAAATTTTCACTTTATTTATAACAAAAACAGTGCTGTTGATAATATCATCACAAATAGAATCTGTACTATCTCATAATAAATATTTTTCAGTCTTTAACATTTATAAATATTATAAATATTAGTATATTATACTGTAAATAACACAACCAAATATGTAATTTTTAAAGTTATATACCTTTTAATTTTTTTATTTGACAAAAATTGTTTTTGATTAATAATTTTTTAGTAGTAACAAAATAACTCTAATATTACTAAAAGTTCTCATTTTATAAGAAGTTTCATATACTTATAACTTCTGAATTTTTTGTCCAGTACCTAACACAGGTCAAATGATAGGCTATCAGGTGATTATTAATCACCTGATAGTCCTTTTTTTTTTAACTGAATCTAGTTTGAAAGAAATCTGATAACCCTGCATGATTTTTAATCAGTTTTTAATATTGATCAGAAATAATTTATGAAACTTTTAGGTTGGCATATTTCAGATAAGTAATATATGAATTTAGGACAAATATTAGAAAAAACATCAGATATCTTTATATAACCTGATATGTATATAATTTTTTGATAAATCAGGTATATATTATTTTTATGTGGAACCTGATGTTTAATTTATATATGGTATATCGATATAAATAATTAATTTCATACAATATACTGATTTTATTTAATATTATGTAATAAATAACATTTAAAATAAAATAAAATATTATACAATTTTCTATTATTATATTGTTCTATTGCTATATCTATTGTTATAATATATTATTAAATAAATAATATGCTATTAATAATTATATTGTTAAATGCTATTAATTAAACAATGATATTTGAGTTTTACATATATATATAAAAAAAATAATTATAAATGAAAATTTATTACATTTATTATTAAATAAACACGGTTTTATTCAAATCAGTATGAAGATAAAATAGTCCTAGAGCTCTGAATCAGGTCAGGTCAACCTGTTTACCTGACCTGAACTGATCTGAAAATTCAGGTCAGGTCAATAGATTTTCAGGTTGATATCAGGTCAGGTCAATAGGTCGATCCGACCTGATCTAAACTGATAAAAATTCAGGTCAACCAATCATTCTTCTTGAATAATTTATTATCGTTAAATTAGAAATAATAAAGTTGATTAAATAAATTAATAATTGTTTATTATATTATTATTTATATTAATATTTTTTTTTTTTTTTTTTAAAGTTGCAGTACTAGTACAAGAAAATTTCTTTAATCGGTTAGTACTATTGAAGTGTAACCCTCGACTAATCTAAGTTTTTCCCTATAAGTCGTGACTAGACACATTCGTTCTAGCTAGAACCCGCCCTGTATACTGGTCTGAAGATTGCCACCTAGGTCGACATCTTCAAGAGCTAGCCCTCAGGGTCTCTAGACCTCAGAACTACTGTCAAATTTGGATAGAGGGATCACTTTCAGCCACAGGTACTTTGTCAGTTTTCTCTGTGCTTACCAACACCATATCTAAATTACTATTACCTCTGCCCAGTATCAGAGTATTTTTACACATAATCGGGAAGGCTTAGACATTATATCTTATAGAATCTCAGAAAGATAAGTGACTGTCATACCTATATCGTCAAATTCACCCAGGAATTGAACCTGGCCTCTACCCCTAATGACAACTCAATTGGAGGATACTGCGGTAGTGCAATGTAGTCTATTATCACCCTAGCCATCCGTAGGTAGTACTCAATCTACTAATTACTGGTTAATCACTTCTTTACTTGTGTAAGGACCTCTGAAATTGAAGACGTGAGACAGTACCCATTACAGGCCTATCAGCGAAGGCCAAGTTTCTGTCGATCTCTGGCTTCATTTGCATTCACTTGTTCTGCAATTTCAGTATTTAGGCATGATTAACGCCGATCGACAGGTCAAACAACCAGTTTCTAACGTATATTAGTATATACGTCCATAATATATTAATATTTTTTTTTTTTTTTTTTTTTTTTGCAGTATTCGGATACATGGGAAGTTGTCTTGCGGATGTATAACGAGATAGTTAACCTCACATCCTACTGAGATCCCACAAGGTCGTGACTAGACTCATTTGTTCTAGCAGAACCCACCCTGTAATACTGGTCTGAAGATTGCCACCTAGGTCGACATCCCCAAGAGCGTACCCTTGAAGCTCCTAGACCTCAGAACCACTGTCAAATTTGGATAGAAGGATTACTTTCAGCTACAGGTACATGTGTCGTATTTTTTCCTGTGCTTACCAACACTATATCTGGATCACTATTACCTCTACCCGATATCAGGGTATATTTACACATGATCGGTAAGGCTTAGATGTTATCATCTTTATAGAACCTCAGAAAGGTAGGTGGTTGTCGTACCCATATCGTCAAAGTCATCCAGGAATTGAACCCGGCCTCTACCCTTAATGACAGCTTGATTGGATGGTTGCTGTAGCAGTGTAATGCAGTCTATTATCAACCATAATCACCTCGAAAACATCTCGAGATGTCACCCAATCTACTAATTACTGGTTAATCACTTTTTTACTTATGTAAGGGCCCTGAATTTGAAGACGTGAGATAGTACCTATTACAGGCCTATCAGCGTCAGCCAAGTTTCTA